GTAAACGAAATAATAATTTGATCTAATTAAGAGTTTTTTTTTTCTTCCGATTTGTAAAAAATCCTTACGTGATAGAAAAAATTAATATTATTTTCGAAATCTGCGTAACTGAATTATGGAAAATCCGTCATTAAAACCAAAACAACTTTTATGAAGTTTAAATTCGCAGGCCTGTGATATCTAACTGAGGCTTGCTATAGGTTGTTATGGGCAACCTGTAAGTGTGTTGAAGTCAGATAAATAACGGGCTTCACCGGTGAGACGTGGTCAAAACTGAAATTTGGCTGATACACGAAACGAGCTTAAAGCTCCGATTGGGCTAAAATATGAAGCGTGTTTAAAGCTGATATTGGGCTAAATTACATAGTAAGAGTTTAGGGGCTTGTTTCTCAATAAATTGTTTTTAAATTAAGGTTGAAATCATGTGTGCATAACTGCTATTTAAGACACCAAATACGTCATATGTTTTGTTGCACTGTCCAAAAGCTAAATACGATGGATACATTTTAACGTTAAATGTTATTTTTAACTCACGAGTGCGGGGCCACAAGCAGTCAGTCGCCTGTGTCGCTGTTGCTGAAGGCCGGCACTGTGTTTTATCTTCTTCTTCTTAAATGGCCTATACAAAAGCGAACAGATTGATACACTTTTATATATGTTCTGGTCTAGGCGAATGTTCCCCACCGTCAGAGTATCTTTTACTGGACTCAACCCAAATACCAAATACGCCGTGTTGCTGGATATTGTTCCGGTAGACAACAAGCGGTACCGCTACGCTTACCACCGCTCCTCCTGGTTGGTTGCCGGTAAAGCTGATCCACCTTCTCCGGCACGAATCTACCTCCACCCAGACTCCCCCTTTACTGGAGATCAACTGAAGAAACAGGTTGTGTCCTTCGAAAAGGTCAAACTGACCAATAATGACATGGATAAACAAGGCCATGTAAGTAACTTGCAAAAAAAAAAAAAACTTTAGATATATCTTAGCGGAATTCTATGAAAAAGAAAACAGACAAAAGTTGAATTTTACATCTCGAACAAGGACCTGTTCTTAACAGCTTCTATAAGTATTATGTTTTCTTAAGTCTAGAGTAATAGGTTTCACATGTTTTTCAGTTATCTGTAGGATACGCCAAATTTAGATTTCTGAGAACGAAAAAAATTAATCAATATCAATCTTCTTTTTTGTTTTGCTCTACGCCTAACGCTTTTTTTCATTAGTTATTTCTACTTATTTGACAGTACATGGATTTAGGTTTAACTGTATTAAACTTATATTAAATATGAAGATATATGTCGCAGTGGATTTTTGTTAACCAATCAAACTACTGAGTAAGTGTATATTCTGTTGCAAAACTTAACGTAAAGAACTGACCAAACAAGTTGTTGAAATCATTCATTTTCTATATAAAATACATAAGGAATTCCAACAGTGTTTAATGGGATTACTTACAATGTTGATGGTATTTTTGTTTGTTTGTTTTTCTCTGGAGTGGGGTGGGGTGGGGAGTTTGATTCATGTGTTATTGAGGATCCTGAAACCAAAAACGCCAAGGACTGAGAATTAATTTGGTGCAGAAATACTTTATATAGAAAAAAAATGTGTTTACAAATATTGATGGGGGTCTTTACCCCATATGTAATTCTAATGTTAAAACAGTGAAGTGAGCCATTAAACAATTACTGAAGTTTTGTGCCACAGCAGGTTCATGTTTATTACTTTTGACAACAATTCTAGTGTTAAAACAGTGAAGTGAACCATTAAACAATTACTGAAGTTTTGTGACACAGCAGGTTCATGTTTATTACTTTTGACAACAATTCTAGTGTTAAAACAGTGAAGTGAACCATTAAACAATTACTGAAGTTTTGTGACACAGCAGGTTCATGTTTATTACTTTTGACAACAGTTCTAGTGTTAAAACAGTGAAGTGAACAATTAAACAATTACTGAAGTTTTGTGCCACAGCAGGTTCATGTTTATTACTTTTGACAACACTCCACCAGGGTGAAAACCCTATCAACATCGGAAATCTTGAACTTTAAACAGTTACTGCTAGTTTTTCTTCTTCTTCTTTGTTATGGGATAACTTAATTGTCACAGACTACGATATTTGTTGGTAGGTGAATGAAATAATAGTCTCATGCTTTTCATTCAAGAAGTTTATTAAACGTAAAAAAAAAAAACGTCATAAAAAAGAAACGAAAATCGTGTATTAAAAAATTAAATTTAAGTTTTCAGCCACATCACGTGGTATGGTATGTAAAATAATAAGATCAGACAACTATGTTTTTCTATAAGGCGCCAAGAAAACTGACCTGTCTCATTGTTTCGTTGCTTGTCCACGGTGGACGCGACCGGAGACTCATCAGTAGAGGCTTGTCAAAGCAGTCTTAATCCACGTGACCTTCGTAGCGGAAAGGAGTAAAAAAAAATCGTCACGCAAACAGCTACCACTAGGTGATTGGCTTTGTCCGTCATGATGTATTGTGTCTCAGCACGCAATGTACCTGTGCCGTTCGCACCTTCGTTGTGTGTCACACGTACAGTTTCAATAACAATACTGGAATTGTATGAAGACCAGTAACTGTGAAGTCAATGGTATAAACTTCGATTTTTCTGTCTGCCGTCTGTGCTGAGACCCAGAACAATGCTTCGATTTCAGGTTTGAAACCGATTTTTGTACTTCTTCAGCTGTTTTAGTGACACAGGGAGTTAAGTGAAATTAGCAGTGTTATGTATTAATATTCATTAATTTGCGCCATAATCCCCCCCCCCTCCTCTCCGAGTTTCGTATATGAAGACATCAAATTATTTTTCTCTCCAGTTCAGTCAGAGGATATATATATACACACACACACACACACACACACATATATATATATATATATATATACATATATTGCACGGATTAGTTGTCACGACAATAGTAATGGCCTGTTTAGCTTATTAGATACGTTGTTGAAATTCACGATATTTCACAGTAGACTTTGTCACCATGGTAACCATGTTGACTTTCCTGCATGGATATATTACGCTGTAATGTGACTAATGTGAAATCTTGACGTTAAAATGTATTATCCTCGTTCTGTTTCCTCAAAAGCTTACTGCCTATTTTGTCGAGGGAATAAAAGTATTAACATATTTTTTTTTTTTACAGC